GTTTTTCCGTTTGCGAGTTGCCTCGCAAGACGAATTTCCCTAGGGGCTTGCTTCGCAAGACGAAAACGTCTCGCGACTTTGTTTCCTTTGTCTAAATAATAATTCGCAAGACGAAAAATTCGCTAGACGACAAAACTTGCGGAACGAATTAATTTCGTCTTGCGGGGCACCACTGTATATGGTGATTATTATTAATTTGCATTTATATTCCACCCTTCCCAAAGGAGCCCTGGGTAGCAACTAATATTCATATTATTCATATTAATAATTGCTTTTATCAATATAGTTTTTATTATCATAATAGTAGTAGTAGTAGTTAGAACATATTACATTGACGTCTTCCTTCTTCTAATTCTAATGTTGCCCAACAGGTACGACTTCTTCTTAATTAGCCAACTTGCCCGCCAGGGCACTGTCAATCCCACATACTACAATGTGGTTTATGATGAGAATGGATTCAAGCCAGACCATATGCAGCGTTTTACATATAAGATGTGCCACCTGTACTACAACTGGCCTGTAAGTAACACAGTTGCATCCAGATAGTTAATTGCCTTCCTTTTCCTCCCACACGAAGTTAGGAAAGGATTGGCCTCCTTTTCAAGTAGCGCCAGTGCCCTCTTCCTCTTACATAGGATCAGCCCTGTCCAACTTGCAGCTATCGATGTCAAAAATGCAGTCTACCTGTTTCTGTTGCCCCCGGAATTGAGAGAACAAGCAAATTATCAAGCACCTGGCGGTTGCATACACAGCTGGTCAGCTGAGTCACAAATTGTTCAGCATTGTGCTCTGTACATTGGTGCAAACTTCCTTTTGTCCAGTGTACTTGGGTAGTTGTTACAAAATTCCAGCTTTCAGCTGGTGAGTGAGGAAGATCCGCAAGTGAGCTATTGCTTTCTTCTTATTTTTAAGAGAAGCAATAGACAGAACTATGCAGATAAGAGAAAAACACTTGCCAAGTTTATGTCTCTTTAGGGCTGGGCCAAAATGCTTCCTTCTGCACACAAAAAAATTCACAGCCCAGCTTTAATGATTGGTGGCCACCATCTTCTCGCTCAGTACCCTGTTTGGGGTTGAGGATGAATATTAGCTGGCACGGAATATGGCATTTAGGCAACAGTACCTGTCCATAATCCAGTTGAGCCTCGTTGCCATCTCAAATCTAGTACCCATCCAACCGTGGGAAATTCAGGCAGCACACACAGTAAACTAGTTCGTGCAAGCAGTAGTTGAAGGTGTGTGGGTTTTCTTTTTAATGGAAGGGTGGGGGATTCACATGGTTGAATGCACTGCTTTTCCATACATAAATGAAAATGAGCGAACCAATCATTGTGTATTAAAGGAGAAAACAAGCTCCAACAAACTAATACTTGGATAGGCCTCATTTTGATTGTACAAACCTATTTCTCGGTTAAATGTCATGTACGCAATTTTTATGTTGGATACTGCTGGCTGAAGAATTCACAGAGTCTTGTTTCATCTATTTTAAAGACACTGGAAGCAGCTAGCCAGTTTCAGCAGAAGGTGATGGAGCAGGACCTCTGATATACTCTTCCCATTTGCTTTCTAGGGCCTAATAAGAGTCCCAGCGCCATGCCAGTATGCCAGCAAGCTGACTTTCTTGGTGGGCCAGAGCATCCACAGAGAACCAAACCTGGCGCTTGCTGACAAACTTTTCTATCTGTGAATGGTGTTGAAGTGGCAACTGTCAAGAGGTTTTGTCTTTGTTTAAAAAAGAAGTTTCTGTTAGAATTGAAGCAACAAACCTCGATTCCTACTGGTGATCATGGAGCAAGTGTTTTAGTCATGTTTAAGGTTTTATATATATGTCTGTGAGATGCCTTTGAGCATGTATCTGTATTCTTTCAAGTTGATTATTTTTGCACATAGATGTTTGAGTTCAAGTTTGGAGATACTTTAGAAGAGGGCTGTTTGTATAAAGCTGAATGGTTGGTTTTAAAATTAAAGTTATATTCTGTTTGTATGTAAAACTTGTCTCCCCCTCCCCTTATTGACATAAAATTATTTGGGCCCAGTTTATTGTTGTTTTTATCTGTTTCTAGTTGGAGCCTAGATAGCTGTCTTTTGATAGCATTATTTCACCCTGCCTTAAACCCTGGTGATTAAGAGCAGGACATTTTATCTAACAAATATAGTTCAGTATTTGCAAAGACAAGGTAGGAGAAAGGCTTGAATACAAAGAAGACCCTGCTGAAGGATGTGTTTGAATTCTGCGTTTCAAATGGAACTGATATACTTGTTGGTTTATATATAGATGTAACATTTATTCTTCAGAAGCTTTGAAAAGTCCTTTAAAAGGTCAAGTTTCTTTTCAAATTAAGACATGCCACGTTGGCTTCCTGCTGCCAGTCTTCCTTGAAGGAGAGGATGGCTCAGCCCCACCTTTAAGAAGACCTCCCTGGACCCAAAAGTGCTAAGCAACTATTGCCTAGTGGCAAATATCCTCTTTGGGGGCAAGGTCCTTGAGAAACAGGTGGCAATCCACCTTTAGGCATGCTTGGAGAAAACTGATTACTTGGATCTATACCAGTCTGGCTTCAGTCATGGCATTGAAGCTGCCTTGGTCACCCTGGTTGATGACATTTGTCAGGGGTGTGTGCCCCTGCTCTTCCTCCTCAACCTATCAGTGGCTTTTGATGACCACAGTGTCCTGGAGTATCTCAGAGGTGAAAATTTGCTTCATTGGTTCTGCTCCTCCTTGCAGGAACATTTCCAGAAAGTTGTTGTGGAAGGCTACTGTTTAGCACCATGAAAGTTGCCCTGCAGTGTCCCACAGTGTCCCTGCTCCTTACGAAGCCTCCAGCAGCAGTCATCAGAGTTTTGGAGTGATGTGCAATAAATATGTAGGTGACACCCAGCTCTATCTGTCTGTTTCAACTGAATTGGAAGAGGTGGTTGAGGTGTTAGACCAGTCCTTGGAAGCAGTGATGGGCTGGATGTAGACAAAGAAGCTGAATCCTGAAATGACAAGGGTACAAGTTCATAAAAGAAACCCTTTCACACTAAGGAAAACTTTGCTTTGCTGGTGTGAAGAAGCTCTTTGTAAGGTGTTGCAACCCATTCTGCATTGTAACTGATGTCCCAACCAAATGATCCAGGGAGTCATCATTACTGCGTAGGAGGAGGGAAGCTTACCTGGATAATAACTTGCAAGCCCAGAGGGAAGAAGCCAAGGTGGAAGAGGAAAATTTCCATATTTTCAAGGTTGTCTACTCTTCACAATTACTATTATGACTTGCATGGAGGGACTTGGTAGTGGTGCTGCTGCGAAAATGGCAAGCAGCACTATGGGGGCAGTAACAGCAAAATCATTTTCCTCCTTAGTCATTATTACCCTTAGAGGTGACACAGGTTTAGTGAGGACACTTCTAGGTGACCTGTTAATTGAGCAGGGCAATTAGACTTCATTGACTATTTAATGAGCATCCACCCTGAATTGTTTTTGGGGAGGGGGAGCAAGTGTTGTCCCATACTATCCACTGCATTTCCCCCTAAAATTCCTTATCACAAAAGTCTGATCTTTTGCAATGAAGTAGGTTTGTCGCACAACATCTCCCAATCAGCTAATTTCGTAACCTGAATCTGCCAGTATGTACCGGTAATTGAATCCTACTCGAAAATAGAGATACCGGTAGTTTGGAAGCCCTCTTTCCAGCCCCATGCATAATTCAACTGCAACAGGAAGACTTGTAGATGAATGAAGCTCCCCGAATGATTGAGCACCCTGGAAGATCAGGGTTCTCAATTGTGCAAGGGGTCTCCACGGATACACAAGACTCCCTGCTGCAGAAGCGTACTTTAATCACACAAGAGCATGCATACACACTGAAGAGTTTGCATGATCTCGGGGGTCAGGGCTTAAAAGAGCATCAATGCAACCCCAGTCTACCAGTGTTGCCTCTTAAGGGCTTAGCAAGAACTTTGTAAGACTTAGCAGGTGCTTCTAGAAGTGGGAGATTTGGTAGTACACAATCACTGCTGTTCTGAATAGCAATTCTGCTTCCAAAGTCTCACACTCTGTAGCCAGGTAGGCAGTCCTCTTTCCCCAATACCAAGTGTTGTGGAGATTTTAAGTGTTAAATACTCCCAGCTTTCTCACTGCACTGCTGATTATGATTGCTCCTCTGGCTGCAATTTAAGTGGAGGGAGAGAAAAGAAACAGATAGAAGGCAATGCTATTTGGAAAGGCAAAGGTACCCCTGACGTTAGGTCTAGTCGCGGACAACTGTGGGTTGCAGTGCTCATCTTGCTTTACTGGCCGAGGGAGCCGGTGTTTGTCCGCAGGCAGCTTCCGGGTCATGTGGCCAGCATGACTAAGCCGCTTCTGGTGAACCAGAGCAGCGCACGGAAACGCCGTTTACCTTCCCGCCAGAGCGGTACCTATTAATCTACTTGCACTTTGACGTGCTTTCAAACTGCTAGGTGGACAGGAGCAGGGACCGAGCAACAGGAGCTCACCCCGTCGCAGGGATTCAAACTGCCGACCTTCCAATCGGCAAGCCCTAGGCTCAGTGGTTTAGACCACAGTGCCACCTGCGTCCTCTATTTGGAAAGAGAAGCACCCAATTGAGCGTAAGATGCTTTGCTTATGAATTTGAGCAGATGCTCCATAAAAAAAGTGAGGGAGCAAAGCATAATTATTCCTCACTGAATGCTTGGAATAGAAACAGCCAGCTTCTCTTACTATACTGGACTACTAACTGGTACACTTAGAAGCCTGCATCTCACCCACTGGTCACTGGGATGGGAAATACTAATGTAGGCATAGGCAAACTCGGCCCTCCATATGTTTTGGGACTACAACTCCCATCATCCTTGACCACTGGTCCTGTTAGCTAGGGATGATGGGAGTCCCAAAACATCTGGAGGGCCAAGTTTGCCTCTGCCTGTATTAATGTATCACAGACAATTGTCGAATCCCTGGGGCAAGGCTGCATTTTCGCTAGGGAGAGGCCAATGTGTTGTGCAACTCAAGCTCTAACTTGATTTGCACAGTTGGGAATTTCTGGATGGGGCCAAAGCGCCTCCAACGTGGGCAAAGTAGATGTCCCTGAAAAGCTCATATACAGGGATTTAAACAATTGGTGCTTTTGTCTCCTCCATCTTTCCAGCTGCATTGCAATTGTTTAATTTTCCAAAGTTAATTATATATTCTGGAGGACAATGAATATGCGCTTCAGATACTCCCAGTATTTATTGTGCTGGTTGGGAGGCTTGGAGAAGCCTTTTGAAGCTCTTTGAAAATGCAAGAACAGTAGAATTCCAGTCATTTCCCTATACAAACCTTAAGCAAGTCCAGACAACAGCCACATACTTTCGAGAGAGTCATCACCGGATAAAGAAACACGCAATTTGCAAGGGGGCAAGCCTTGTGCTTCGTAAAGCGTCAAAGGAGAGTCGACAGTGTACAGGTAAGATTTTGCTCTTTGTCGTTTTGCATTTATTACAAGAGTTTCTAGTGCTGATTGAGGCCAATGTGTTTAGGGTTGTTGCATGGCAAAACACAAGAGTCTTAGCTTTGCTTTTCAGAAGGCAGTTTGGGAAGAAAAGCCACAAAGAAATTATTTTGTGCAATTCCGCATATGAAAATCAGATTGGCATCCTGAAATACCCTTGACTGTGCTGGAAATGGAGTCTTAGGATGTTGTTATGGTTGCTTTTTTTTATTTGTTTCGAATTTTCCATTGCAAGAAAAAGACACACATGCAGTGTGTGGATCGTTTGAGCCAGGGCTTACCAATGAATCTGTCTTTAATGCGGAGACTTAGCTGTGGAACATTATAATTAGGGCTACAATGTTTGGTTGATGAATCAGTTTGATTAAACCTTTCAAAGCGTTTCAATCGAGGAAAAAGGTGCCCCCAATTAATTGGAGAGCCACTTCTTTGGAATATAAGTACACGTTACAAGCTGCAAAAGACAAGTGTCATCTTAGCAGATGCTTTCCTACCTCTGTGAGAGAAAGGGGGATGCATGCCTCTTCTAAGATTATGCTTGCTGTCCGGCACTGCTAACCCCATCTAGAAGTTCCACGGAGATCATGGGACATCCATTCCCCTCTGATGGAATCAGCCAGAGGAAGCATCAGGGCACGAGGCTGGTTGAGGGTGAAGGTCTCCATGGGTCAGGTTTGGAATCAGTGAGGAGCTTTTGGAAGATTTACCTCTCTCAGCCTTTCTCAGAACAAATCATATGGACAATGTCGGGGGTTTTGAATCTTCAGTTTGCAGACCACCAGTAGTTGCAAGCTTCCTGCAGGTGGTCTGTAGTGGTGTCTGTGAAGATGAGAGGTAGCACATCAGTGGCATGCGGTCAGTGGACTAATGGGACTAGACTGATCCCTTAAATGTTCCTGCAAATTAGTCTGGGCCTCCTTCCCAAAGCCCAGGAAGCTTCTGCCCAGCTTAGGGAGGGAGGCACGATGCTCACATGCATAACATCAGGATATCATGCACACGACGTCATCCCCCCCCCAATCATCCTCGCAAGCTGTCGCTTACAATGAAATTCATCACATGCCACAGTAGCACTTCCATCCCATTGAATAGTCATACAGTGGTGCCTCGCAAGACAAAATTAATTCGTTCCGCAAGTTTTGTCATCTTGCGATTTTTTTCGTCTTGCGAAGCACGGTGTCGGGAAAGTTTTGGAAAAGCTTCAAAAATCACCAAAGTCTTCAAAACCTCAAAAAAGGCTACCACACCGTGTTCTATGAGTTGCTCCTCGAAGTCAAGTCGCAACTGTATTAACGGTGTTAAGAAAAAGGAAACAAACTTGCAAGACGTTTCCGTCTTGCGAAGCAAGCCCATAGGAAAATCGTCTTGCGAAGCAGCTCAAAAAACAAAAAACCATTTCGTCTTGCGAGTTTTCCGTCTTGCGAGGCATTCGTCTTGCGAGGTACCACTGTACTGATTTTAATCGTATTTATTCTTTCTTTTGTTTCTTGTATTTTATTGTGTGACAATTTGAAGTTTTTTGTTTTTTTAAAAATGTTAACAAACATGGATACATATGCTATAATGTTATTGTTTTAGTTAAATAAATTGTTTAAATGGTTATTAAGGAAATGATTATTTTTCTCCTTCCAATAAAGTACAGCAGAAAGTTGTCCAAATATAAACAGTTAACTTATTTAAACCTCACAATAATCTCATAATTATCTGTCTATGTATTTCTAATAGTATAACCAAATCCAGTAAATTTTAGTAGTAAAAACTACTCTGAAAATTTATTATTCCAATAATGAAATCTACATCTGGATGCAAATATAAGATTATACCAGCAAGAATGAGTTTCTGTAAAAAAATTGATTTAAATCAAGTCTTACTATTTGATTTAAATCATGATTTGAATTAATGATTTAATCATGATTTAAATCAAATCCACCCTGTGCATTATACATACCTCTTTCCCATATCGGCTTTATTTCTGCATAGCAGAAATCATCCATGGTTTCCAACAGTGCCATCTTTAAAAAACAGTAACAAAAAGAGCACATCTCTGGTGCTTAACTGAAACTCGCATGGCTTAGCACAGAGGATGTCTGTGTTGAAGATTCATTCCCCATGTCTGCAGTCATGGGATTTTTGTCTATCACTTGACAGTGTAATGTTTTGACTCCACAGAGTGGGAAGTGACGGAGACAGGATGTTTGTGTTACTGTGTTCCGTGAAGTTGGACTATTGTCCTTTGTTCATTCTCTTTGCTGTCTGATGCTAGAGAGAGAGGGAGCCATGTTGCAGTGCTCCGTGTGTGTTTATATGTAAATAAAGTAGATTAGCCAAAATGCTGAGTTTCTGAGGTCTGTTACGCAAGCTGCAAAGACTCTGCGGATCCCTAAGTGTGCTGATGTCTGTGGCATCCGGTAGCTGTGATGTTCAGGCTGAAGAAAGCTATTGGAGCTCCCAAAAGAATGACCAGGAGGCAGAGAACATGCCAGTCGGGCATGTGACTCTACCAGGATCCTACTCAAGTATAGGGCGAGCTCCTGACAGTCTGCATAGAGAGAGGCCACACGACACAGAGAGAGAAAAGTAATGAAGAAATGCACGTCTCCAAAAAGAACAAAGAGGCCACAGATTGACATGAAGTGTGCACATGCAAACAAAACTTCCAAATGCAAATTTAGAAAAAAGTGTAATATAAATACTGTTAATAGATTTTGGGGAGAACCCCACCTAAACCCTATAAATTATAAATGGTAGGATTTTGATTTAGTTGGGTTATGGATGAAAGTAACAAAGCTGCAGAGAATCCCTGGCTGGTTTTACAAACCAGTCTGGCTGCTTAGTGAAGAGCAAATCTGCTAACATGACAAAAGGGGTTGATGGGCCATTGGAGAGGAATCCTTTGACCTGGGGAGACAGATGGTGCCAAGGTAACTGGGTGAGAGGTGACAAGAAAAGGGAGTCTTTTAGCAAGGGGGAAGAAGAAGAAGAAGAAGAAGAAGAAGAAGAAGAAGAAGAAGAAGAAGAAGAAGAAGAAGAAGAAGAAGAAGAAATAAGACTTAGATCCATCTTGGGCAGGCTGGCTGAAGACTGACTGCACTGCTGTGGGAGACAAGCCCCTCTTGAAATGGCTGCTGTATTCCTCCATGCAGACTGAAGGTATAAATAGGTGAATAAACCATATTTCTTAAAGCTACAACAGTCTCTGCTGTGACTCAATCCTCCAAAGGAACACAGACCCTGGGTGAGTGCCTGGAACCCCATGGACTTACTACTGCTTGGCAGAGAGAGGGAGAGGCACCCAACTATTCTAACAATACAGCTATAAGACATTGCACCATACTGCAGAATATTGGGTGGTATCCAACTAAACAGTACTGCGAACACAAGGAGTTTTAACTGCCCTCTCTCCTTCCTGTTGTGTTGGCATCAGTCTGTCTTGGGAGACAATAGAGGAGTGCGCCTTTTGCGTTGAGGTCAAGCTGTTGAACGGTTGCAGCGGCTGTAGAGACTGATATGGCAGAGACATGTTTTGTTGCAGCTGGGGCAGATGAAGGTGTCCGGTTGTGCCGCTGCAGATGCACCATGGCGTTTCTTCTCTCTGCACTCCTCCCAGCGGCCAATCCTCCTCTGGTCCTTGCTGTGGATGCACATCCTGACTGCCTGCCTCCAGGCACTGCAGTTGTCTGCAAGGTTTTCCCACAGGACAGGGTGGATGTTGCCAGCCTTCATGTCACATTTGCAGACATCTTTGTAACGCTGAGTTGGTCTGCCAATTGGCCTAGCAACAGAAGCCAGCGCTCCCTAAGTCAGAGGGGAGACGAGTGTGCACCGTGTGAGCTGGAGTGGCTTCTATTCTACATGCGGGGGTTGGGGGGTCGACTGGAAAAATTGTGCTCCGTTGGTGGGGCGGTGAAAGGCAAAGTTTGCGAAAAGCGCCCTGCTCTCTTCTCCGCGGAGGGTGGAATACGCTTCCTGCGGAGGCGAGTAGGCAGCTGGCTGAGGCGACGAGGTTGAGGCTTTTGTTGATTGGTAGGGAGAGTGAAAAGACGGGGGAGGGAAACCCCCAAGGAGGATTTTGCACGAGAGGGAATTGAAGGGGAAAACGGCCTCCCACGTGGAGCACCTTTTCCCCGGGAAATCACGGGGTGGGTCGTGCTGATCCTGCTGCTTGCAGCTCTGGCGTCGTGCGAGGCCCAAAGTGCTGCAAGGATCGCCAATGCAAGTACCCCTTTTAAAAACCTCCCCCTCCCCAAGCTTCTGGAATGAAGAAAAGGGGAATGGTATGGCGTCGGCGTGCGGAGGCTGCCCTGAGTGCCCGGCAGGGCGTCTGTGATTATGGCGGTTCATCGCTGCTGCAGTGGCTGCTTCCTCCTGCGTAGCAGTGAAGCTGTGAGCCAGTCCGCTAGCCTGGCGCTTCGGGGGTGCAGCGCTGCCGCGCTAGGGCGCTCAAGGCTGGCTCCATGGTGCGGCGGGGCTGAGCCCGGCGGAGGGAAGGGAAACTTGTCTCCTTTCCCTCTGGACTCGCGCCCCCGCAGATTTGTTGCGCCCGGTTCGTACTGGCTGACCCCTGGCTACTGACCCACGCTACGACCACTACTCCTACTGGTCACACATATGGCAACGGTCCTTGTGTGCGGGCTCATCACTTGTAGTGTGTTGCCGCGGATACACTACCTGGTGGAACACTTTATTGTATTTAAGATAATGATTATTTTTCTCCTTCCAAAATAAAGTACAGCAGAAAATTGTCCAAAATATAAACAGTTAACTTATTAAACCTCACAATAATCTCATAATTATCTGTCTATGTATTTCTAATAGTATAACCAAATCAGTAAATTTTTATAGTAAAAACTACTCTGAAAATTTATTATTCCAATAATGAAATCTACATCTGGATGCAAATATTAAGGTTATACCAGCAAGAATGAGTTTCTGTAAAAAAATTGATTAAATCAAGT